GTGTGTGAGAGTGTGAGAGTGTGTGTGTGTGTGAGTGAGTGAGTGAGTGAGTGAGTGAGTGAGTGAGTGAGTGAGTGAGTGAGTGAGTGAGTGAGTGAGTGAGTGAGTGAGTGAGTGAGTGAGTGAGTGAGTGAGTGAGTGAGTGAGTGAGTGAGTGAGTGAGTGAGTGAGTGAGTGAGTGAGTGAGTGAGTGAGTGAGTGAGTGAGTGAGTGAGTGAGTGAGTGAGTGAGTGAGTGAGTGAGTGAGTGAGTGAGTGAGTGAGTGAGTGAGTGAGTGAGTGACTGTGTGTGAGAGAGAGTGTACAGGTATATATGGTTTATGAGGACACAAATGTGTATAATGACATGGGTACTACAACGTAAACATGGTTTATGAGGACACTTCCTGTGTCCCCGTAAAACAAAAGGCTTAAAAAACACAAAACGGTGTTTTATGAAATTCAAAAATTGCCAGCAGTTGACTGTGAGGGGTAGGTTTAGGGGTAGGGTTGGTGTAGGGCAATAGAATATACAGTTTGTACAGTATAAAAACCATTACGCCTATGGAGAGTCCCCGTAAACCACAAATACAAGTATGTGTTTCTGTACAGAGTTCCTGTAGCTCAGTGGTAGAGCATTGCGTTAGCAGCGCAAAAGGTTGTTGGTTCGATTCCCAGGGAACACACATACTGGTAAAAAAAAATAAAAGTTTATAGCCTGAATGCACTGTAAGTCGCTTTGGATAAAAGCATCTGCTAAATGCATTAATTATTAAATTATAATAAGTTTGTGAGAGAGTGTGTGTGTCTGCAGCAGGACACAGAAGAACCTTCGACACAGAATCTAGAGAAGAGGAACGCATGATGGAGAAAAACAAACCCGCACCAGAGTGTCCGTCATGCGGTCAAACACGCAAAAACAGCCGCAGGATTCCAGATGTTTGGTTTATTGAGAACACACACATTATCTAACGGAGCCGCTGCTTCTCCTCTTCAACAAAGAGATCAACAACAGTCAACATTTGCTCATTAGTGACTCTCTCATTCCAGACCACTTCTGTCCTGCTCCAAAACATCTAAAAATGCATTGTTTGTAAATCATTTTGGCAGTTCACTCAAAACCTGATCAGCTCCAGAGAGAAACACACAACCTGTGCTAACAAAGAAAACTGCTCCAGTCCAATGCCATAACATTAACTAGCATTTCCAGGACAAAGAAAACACAACATGAACTTACAATTCTCTATATGGCATTTCTTATCAAAATATCAAAATTCCAGTGGAATGACAGAGTTCTCCAATCACTGAGTGAGTTTAAACTCCGCCCCTTTCTTACAATCCACCACAGATCCGCCTCCACGACTGAGAGCCACGCCCACATCTCAACATCCAATCAGCAGCCGATGGACAGAACTAAGCCCCGCCTTGCATTTTTTTTCTTTTTTTGAAAATCCGTTTCACTCTGATGAGTTGTTTTCTGAGAAACTCACCAAAATGAGTTTATAATTAAAACAAGAACAAGTATTCGTCAATGAGCTAGTCATCTTGACGTTTTGTTTATTTTGTTCAATTTCGTAGAAAACAAGACTAAATATTTTTATTTTGCATATCCAGTAAAAGTATCTTGATTTAACAATGTTTAGATATTTGTACTGGGAAAGAAAAAGTCAAAAATACTAAGGAAGAGCGCATGACTTGTGAGTTTAAGACCTGCTGCTCTGATTTAAGAGCTTTTAAGGCCCACAGAAACCCTGTTAAAAGCCCAGCGCAGTGTCAAAACCAAAGGAAAGGAGACATGAATGCTCAAATAAGCCCTTAAAGAATGAGATTTAATTACTCTCACCAGATGAATTTATTAAAGCTCATTGTGAAGTTCGAAGCAGCAGCATGTGTTCATATTCGCTCTGTTCCAAACCCTAGTGCTCTACATAGACAGCACACTTCCAAGACAACTCAAATCAGTAGTGTTTGCTAAGATAACAACAGAAATAATAGCAGCTATATATTAGGACAAACAGCTCATTTAAAATCAGATGGGACTCTTTTTGTCTATATTTTTACTTAACGAATGAATTCTTAAAAATATGGTTCTCTTGCTTGAATGATGGATGATTTCTGTTGCAATGCATTCTGGTATAATGAAGGTTATTTAGGGGCCGTTCACACAGAACACATTTTTGCATTGAACTTCACTACTTTTGCATTATTGTTAGTAAACGCACGCTAGACAGTGTTGTTTTAATCACTGAGAATTGTATAGTTCTTTTATTTATGGGTTTTTAATTTTATATTTTGTTTTCATTTTCGCTAAAGTTTTAGTAATTTTTTTGTGTGCTTTTGTTATTTTTTTTACAATATGGATATTTAAAAAAAATGTTTTATCAACTTTTATTTTAATTTTATCCATTTACACTAAAAATAAAAATCATGTCTTTTTTGCAACACAGTTTTATAAAATGTGTCACTCGAATTTAAAAGATTTGCATTATATATTTTCATAAATAATTGTAAATGCATTATAACATGTGAAGGTTTGTGTTTTAATGCATTATACTTTCTAAAGGTGCAACAATTAATAGATTAGTATTATAACTGTGGTTATAATTATTCATGAGATCATATTATAAGGTGCGTTTTGAGGCATAATTAATGCATTAAAACTACTTTCATAATGCATTACGCATAAAGGCTTTAAGTAAAGTTTTTAAACCCAATCTTTATGTTTTTAAACACAAAATCGTGTTGTGTGTGAACGGCCCCTTAGAAGGCAGCATAATGTAGCAGACTTAAAATGTTAAAATGCAATCTAAGTAGGAAGCTCACTAGGTTTTGGAACAGAGTTCATGGCTTTAAAAAATCAAGTAGATTACATACAGTACTTTATCTCCTTATTAAAATATAATCATTTATATACAGTAAATCTGTCTGGAAGGAGTCTGAAGAAGATCTGCCGCTGGAGAGCATCACATTCGACCCTCGTTCCCTCGATTGTTTGATTCAAGTGCATCTCGTTTCCCGAGAGCGTCTGGATGTTCAGCGCCAGGCGTGCCCTCCGTGCTTCTCCTTCACCAGCATCATCTGATCGATGACTTTCCCGTACTGCAGACAGAGCTCGAGTTAGTCTGCAGACGTCACACACACACACGCATGCACGCACGCACGCACACAGACACACACACACACACACACACACACACAGACACACACACACACTCACACACACACACACACACTCACACACACGCACACACACACAAACACACACACACACACACACACACACACAGACACACACACACACTCACACACACACACACACACTCACACACACGCACACACACACAAACACACACACACACACACACACACACACAGACACACACACACACTCACACACACACACACACACTCACACACACGCACACACACACAAACACACACACACACACACACACACACACAGACACACACACACACTCACACACACACACACACACTCACACACACGCACACACACACAAACACACACACACACACACACACACACACAGACACACACACACACTCACACACACACACACACACTCACACACTCACACACTCACACACACACACTCACTCACTCACACACACACACACAAACAGACACACAGACACACACACACACGCGAGAGCTACCTGGTCGTCGGACACCTGCTCCAGGTACAGGTGCGTGCCGTTGATCAGACGCATGCGTGTGTAGCCGTAATCCGTGCTTCTGAAAGCGCTCCAGTCGCGAGGTTTAGGGATGAAGCCGTCGTGTTTCTCTCGACAGCCCTGAACAAGACAAAATCACACATCTGCTAAAACACCAACACATCACATGGCATACTGTATCCCACAATGCAATGCACTCAACTCGCCCTTCCGCTTACAGAGCTGGAAGTCGTTTTTTTTCATGCAAAATTTAATTTAAAATGCAAACATGAAACACGATGAGTTTGTGTGAGGACAAACTGAATCCTAAATGTTTATTGTTGGGTTCTGGAAGTTGGTGGATGATTTTTCTTACAATGCATTCTGCTACAAAGGTGGTTATTTAGGGGTCATTCACGCAGAACACATTTTTACACTGCACTGCGGTACTTCTGCATTTTTTTTTTCTAAGTAAGCGCATGTTATTTTAGTATCACTGAAATACTATTATATAACTATTATATTTTTTGTAACACTTTACAATAAGGTTAATTTCTTACACTTCTACAGCATTTATTAATCTTAGTTAATGTTAATCTCAACATTTACCAATACATTATTAAAATCAAAAGTTGTGTTTGTTAACATTAGTTAATGCACTGTGAATTAACATGAACAGTGAACGACAGTAGTTTCATTAACTAACATTAACAAAGATTACCGTAATAAATACTGTAATAAATCTATTGTTCATGTTAGTTAATACATTAACTTACATTAACTGATGGAACCTTATTGTAAAGTGTTACCATAATTTTTATTAATAGTTTGAATTAGTTTTTTATATTTTCTGTTTTAATTTTAATTTATTTTTACCAATTTTGTTTTGTGATTTTTTTATTTTTTCCCATTTTAACTTTAGATATTTAAGGTTAAAATGAATGAAAATAAGACGTGTTGCCTTGCCAAACATATATATATATATTTTGTTTTATTTCAGTTAATTTGTTTTTTTTAATTTTCCAAGAAACAAAATGTTTTTTTATGGTTTTAGTTCAGTGTAATAACCTCGACTTGACGTCTGCACTGCATCATGTCTTTTGCCCCATTCATTTTCTTTTAATTAATAGTTTTATATTACTGCAGTGTTTTTAATTCGATGATGTAATTTGCAATGCTTCATGGGATTGTAGTTCTTATAGTTCCCAGCTAACAGGGAATGTTCTCAGAACGTTCTGTCAAGGTTCTCTCAACGTTCTTCTGGCAACATTAATAGAATGTATCTGGTCTTTAATAATGTTACTGAAACTTTTTGAAACATTTTAGTTGGATGTCAGTTTAATGTTTCTTTTTAAATGTTTCAGAACGTTCAGAGAACCTTCAAAAGTAACGTTCCCATAATGTTTGCAAAATGATAAAATGATTTTAAAACATTTTTGAAAAAACTGGAATGTTTTTTTTTAACCTAAGTGGAACATTGGCAAAATGTTCTTAGAACATATTTTTGTCTTTTTGCCTGATTTTCAAATACTTTAAATCATACTGTTGTGATTCTGCTCATAGCTGGTTGTTTGATTTATGGATTAAAACGCTTTAAACAGAGACTATTTTAAAATCTCTATGGAGAAAAAACACTGGGTGTGCACTAATGCACTTTATATGTGCGGCTTTACATACTGTTTTAATAAATAGACAGTGTATCGTGTAGTATGCAGTAAGTTAGTACTCTATCACGAACAGTGCCCTTCTCAACCTTCACAAACCCTCGTGAAACTAGCGTTGCTGGTGCTTCTGACGATACTCACGGCTGAACCTGTGATTATGTGCACGGGCGCTTTAGGATTCACATACGGCTCTTCAGAGCTCCCGTTAAACACCTGCGGGACACAAACACACGTCACATCTGATAGAGTCGATCACAGAGTGCTTTCAGATCAGTGCTGAGCTTTACCTTGTAATCGTACACGGGCCAGAGTCTCTCATACGTGTGTTCATGAGCCCAGAGCTCCAGATCCACTCCTGAAACATACACACACACACACACACGCACACACGCACTCACGCACGCACGCACGCACGCACACACACACACGCACACACACACGCGCACACACACGCACAAACACACACTCACACAGTTTAGGCTTGGAAACAATCATTAAAAATATAGACTGAGATACTGATACTAGAGGTAAACAGGGAAAAAATTTAACTAATAAATATATTCTCACACGTTCCCTAGTTGATTAATCACAGTACATTAGACAGCTGTGTAGTATTACAAGTTTTCTGAAATTATATGCTTAAATATGCAAAGTAGGCATTATCTAATTAAATATGTGCTAATTTGCATACATCTCCAGAGCATGAATTTGAACATTGGATAAAGCCAGATTCATAATTCTTGTTTGATTTTCTTGTCATATTAAAGGTTTTTCCAGAGGGGATTTTTTGGATCTCTCTTTTAATCAATAAAAAAAATACTGTCAAACTGCAAAAAAGTTTCTTCCTCAGTATTTTTGTCTTGTTTTCCAGTGCAAATATCTAAACATTCTTAACTGAAGATATATTTACTAGAGATGCATAATGACATAAGATGTAAAGTCTTGTTTTCTGAAAAAAATATAAAAGATTTTATAAAAAGAAGTAAAAATGTCGAGAAAAATAACCTTAATTCAAAGAGGAAACAAGATTATTTTTTCTGACCCCATCGGCAGACATCAGAAAACAAGACTTAATATCTTATGTCATTGTGCATCTCTAGTAAATATATCTTCAGTTAAGAATGTTTACATATTTGTATTGGAAAACAAGAGGAAGAAAATAATTGTTTGCAGTGCAACAGACAGATTTTCACCATGTTTTTAGGAATATCGAGAGGAATAAAACTGTAACGTTTGGTGTTTGTTAGAGAAAAACTCTTTAAAGATATGGATTGAGATTGAAATCTACAGATGCAAATAGATAAAGTGCAAAAAAATTAACTCTTAAATGTGTATTTTGGATGTTTTCTTTCCATGATATGGAAGCAAAATAGACTAAAAATTCAAAATCGACCAGTGCATCCCTTAAAACGGCGCAATCCTCTTACCGTACTGATAGAATAAATCCTCCAGTCCAGGAGCAATGGGTTTCGTGTCATTGCGTCCAAGTCGGACCTGAAACAGCAGACGTCACCAAAGACAACATTAACCATCTGACCTCGTCTTGAGATGGTACTGAAACAGAATCACACACAGCATGAGATCTGAGATCACACACGTAGCTCTGGAAGTGTGTGCAGTCGTCTCCGTCATCGTTGGAGCAGTACATGGGTCTGTGTCCCATCGTGATGATCCACGGCCGCTGCGCTCGGTTCTCAGGACGGTTCGCTTCCTTTATCAAGCACAGAAACACTCGAGAATATTCCCTTGCTTTATCCATAAATGCCACTCAGTTTTGCTGGATTAATGCTTAAAACTATAAAAACATGCCTGATTATCTTCCACAGTTTTAAGGATGTTTCAATATTTTTACAGTAAAACTGTTTAAAGGAATAGTTCGCCCCAAAATGAACATTTTTTGCTGAAAATGTGCTCATCCCAGATCAGGATGAGTTTGTGTCTTCATCAGGTTTGGAGAAATGTAGCATTGCATCAGTGTCTCACTGCAAGTGAATGGGTGCCGTCAGAATGAGAGTCCAAACAGCTGACAAAAACATCACAATAATCTATCCACAGCACTCCAGTCCATCAGTTAACATCTGGAGAAGACAAAAGCTGAAACAAATCCAGCATTAAGACGTTTTTAACTAAAATACCATGGAGTCCATAATCTATAATAACACTTCCTCCAGTGAAAAAGTGTTCTGGTCTGAATCAGGAGAGAAATCTGCACAGATCAAGCAGCGTTTAAACAGCTCTAAACAAATATGAGAGACAACAGGAGATGCACTTGTTCACTGGAGGAAGAGTCATTATAGATTATGGACTCTATGTATTTGAGTTAAAAGCATCTTAATGCTGGATTTGTTTCAGCTTTTGTCTTCTCCAGATGTTAACTGATGGACTGAAGTGCTGTGGATTACTTGTGGATTATTGTGATGTTTTTATCAGCTGTTTGGACTCTCATTCTGACGGCACCCATTCACTTGTAGTGAGACACTGATGCAATGCTACATTTCTACAAACCTGATGAAGAAACAAACTCATCTACATCTATGAACATGATTTTTACAGTGTTCATCCACAGCAAAGTCGATTTCTGAGAGAACACAGCAGCATGTGTTGTGTATTTGTACCTGTAGATCGGCCTGTAGCCAGTCATACTGTCTGAAGAGCAGATCCAGGCCGTATTCCAGATAGAAATAGACTTCCGTGGAAAAGGAGATGATATGAGCGGGTCCAATGTTCCAGCTACACACAGTTATAAACATGCTTCAGTGTTCAAAAACTGATTGTGCAAACACTAAATGTTTCTTCAGACTGGGAAAAACAATCATCCAGCAACGCAGAACTGGATTCTTCATTCTCTCTGTGTTTAAAGCAGAACCTCAGTAGTTTTTCCAGCTTTCTCCCACGAGCACAGATATATCGCTCGCTCAATTATGACGTTCCAGCGCAGAGATGATTCATAACAAACGTACTTAACTGACTATAATCTGCACCTTATGACCTCTCTCAAACACTTTATCCAGACATTATAATTGAGCTCATGTGAAGAACTACAGGATAAAACAGGGAGAGTCTTTCTAGCTTTCTTTCTTTATAGTGTAAGTGGAGATTTCTGAGATAAAACTCATAGATATAATAGACAAAGTGCAATAAAACAAACACTTATTTTCTTTCCACCAGTCTGAAAGATACAGAAGCTTGTTTCCGCCACAGGATAAAGAAAAATAACAAAGATAACTGCGACTTTTATCTCAAAATGCAGACTTTTTTTCTGGCAATTCTAAGAATAAAGTCAGAACTATGTTATGAACTCAAAACTGTGATATATAAAGTCAAAATTATGAGAAAAAAGTCAGAACTGCGATAAAAGTCCGAATTGTAAAAAAAAAGTCCGAATTGTGAGAAAAAAGTCCGATTTGTGAGAAAAAAGTCAGAATTGTAAAAAAAAGTCAGAATTGTGAGAAAAAAGTCAGAATTGTTAGAAAAAAGTCAGAATTGCGAGAAAAAAGTCAGAATTGTAAAAAAAAGTCAGAATTGTGAGAAAAAAGTCAGAATTGTTAGAAAAAAGTCAGAATTGCGAGAAAAAAGTCAGAATTGTAAAAAAAAGTCAGAATTTGCAAAAAAAGTCAGAATTGCGAGATATAAAGTCAGAATTACAAAAAAAGTCCGAATTGTGAGAAAAAAGTCCGAATTTTGAGAAAAAAGTCAGAATTTGCAAAAAAAAGTCAGAATTGTAAAAAAAAGTCTGAATTGTAAGAAAAAGTCCGAATTGTAAAAAAAGTCCGAATTGTAAAAAAAAGTCCGAATTGTGAGAAAAAAGTCAGAATTGTAAAAAAGTCAGAATTGTAAAAAAAAGTCCGAATTGTGAGAAAAAAGTCAGAATTGCGAGAAAAAAGTCAGAATTGTAAAAAAAAGTCAGAATTGTGAGAAAAAAGTCAGAATTGTTAGAAAAAAGTCAGAATTTGCAAAAAAAAAGTCAGAATTGTAAAAAAAAAGTCAGAATTGTAAAAAAAGTCAGAATTGTAAAAAAAAGTCTGAATTGTGAGAAAAAAGTCAGAATTGTAAAAAAAAGTCAGAATTTGCAAAAAAAGTCAGAACTGCGAGATATAAAGTCAGAATTACAATAAAAGTCCGAATTGTGAGAAAAAAGTCAGAATTTGCAAAAAAAAAGTCAGAATTGTAAAAAAAAGTCAGAATTGTAAAAAAAGTCCGAATTGTAAAAAAAAGTCTGAATTGTGAGAAAAAAGTCAGAATTGTAAAAAAAAGTCAGAATTTTCAAAAAAAGTCAGAATTGCGAGATATAAAGTCAGAATTACAAAAAAAGTCTGAATTGTGAGAAAAAAGTCCGAATTTTGAGAAAAAAGTCCGAATTGTGAGAAAAAAAGTCCTAATTGTGAGATACCAAAGTCAGAATTGCAAAGAAAGTCAGAATTGCGAGAAAAAAGTCAGAACTGCGAGATATAAAGTCAGAATTGTAAGATATAAAGCAATTCTGTGTTTTCTTCCCCTCAGAATTGTGGTAAAAAGTCAGAACTAAGAGACAATTATCTTTTTTTAATCCCGTGGTGGAAACAAGCTTCCATAGAAAAGAAAACAAAGCAAAACAGCTCAAGATCTTGTCTTTAGTGTCAGTGCTCGTACCTGTACCACAGATTCTCCGTGTGTCCCGGCATACTGAAACGACTCCTGTAGTGGGAGAAGTTACTGGAAAAATAAACACAGACAGAAAATCACAGACTGAAAACCACAGCAGCCGTTACTGAGTTACACAGTGAACATATTCAGGCCTTCAAACGACGCGAGCACTGAAACCGACACCAGGGAGAAACAGAAAAACACTAAACGCTCTCGTGTCTCACACGGACAGGGTTAATTCAGGGTCACTGTCAGTGACCTCAGAGGGTGGGGTCAAAGGTCAAGAGGATGCAGGTTCAGGATCATTTTTTTGAGTTTCCGTTGTGCTGGTATGGATGTGCTGAGAGCTCACAGGGGTCATGAGGTCAAGTCTAGGAAAACATCTGGCCAGACATTTACAGAATATTTCACTGAGCCCAAAAACCACCTCTACACATAGTCAATCACTTTTAACATCGATCCAGAGGTTTGTGCTTCCCTCCAGTGGTCACAGTGAGGTCAGCACTCAAACTACTAACTAGTTCACTAAAAAACATGAAAACAGCAAAAACAAAAAGTCAGCAGGCTGTCGTCTGAATCACTTACTAAGACGGACGTGAATCTGAATAAATTATTCAGCAGCCGGTCAGATTACAAATACAGTGCAAAAAGCATTTTTTGTCTTATCTAAACATGCTTAAATAAAGTTACATTTATTCTTAAAACATTCTTATTCTCATTCTTATTATTCTTAGAACAAATATTTATTTTATTTATTTATGATTTAACGTCGTGTCAGCAGCAATGGTTATATTCATGGCAAAATAAATGGTATTTACATTTTTAATTACAATGTCATTTCAATACATTTTTAAAAATAATTTAAGAATTTTGTCTTAAAAAACAATTAACATGCAAAAATACACATTTATACTTTAAATAGCAATAACAACAAAAATTATATGGAATCATTCAATTTAATGTGTGATAATTTTTTTTTGTAAATGATTCCAGGAGAAACGTCCTTAAAAATATTTTCAGAATAAAATCGTTGTTTAATATCATTTAAAAATAGACATTCTATTAGAGCATGTTTTAAACTCAAGAAATTATTACATAAATCACAAACCCGTTTCCCCTTTCAATAAAATATGAATGGGTCTCTTGAGTGACCAATTAATCATCTTGTCGACCTCTTCATATCTATTTTCAAAATAATAACAATAAATATAGCTGCAAGCAGCGATTATTGGGGTTCAAGTGTTTTAAGGCATTTAAGCACACATGAAAAAAGACATTACGTATTATTTAGCAAGCCTGTAACCACCTAAATCAATGATTTAAAAAAGCATTTTTGGCAAATCCAGGTAATTAACCATAGAAATATGACGATTTTTTAATGTTTATGACTGTTACAGCTTCACCTATGGCCGGAGTGGAGGAGTTTGCCGAAGTAGGTTTTTTTAAATAATGTCAAATATTTAAAGAACAGTTTGATTGACAGCAGTCCTATAGGCAAAGTTATTCAGAATGAGGAGATCAATCGTACGAAGTGAAGATCTAGTGTATTTGTGAACCATAGACATATAGTTTACCATAGAAATATAGTGTTTTTGAAGCCTTTTTGACTGTTATAGCGCCACCTGTGGTCCGATCTCTATGAAACTTAGCATGCTTGTTTAGAATCACCTGTTGCATGTGCTCACCTAGTTTCATGAAATTTTGAGTTTTTGTTTAGGCTTTATAGGCGTTTGGGTATATTTGGACACGCCCCTTTTCTAAACGACCCAGTTATAACTACCCAAAGGGTGAAGTTAAACATTTTTTAATAATTATTGATATAGAGAGTCCAGAGAATTGTACTGCAGTGGTTTTTCCGAGATTGAGCAAAAAACCTAGGGCTACTTTGCAAAAGTAGGTTTTTTACATATTCTCAATTATTTAACAAACAATTTGATTGACAGCAGTGGTTCTAGAGGCAAAGTTGATCGGAATGAGGAGGTCTAACAGATGATATGAATATTGTGTGTATGTGTGAAAAACCGCGCAATGTACAATCAATTACGCCCTTGAAAAATGCGATATCGCCCCCCCAGTGGCCGATTTCTTTCAAATGTCTCACAGACCTTTAGGGCCATGAGTCAAACAGGCCCACTGAGTTTCATTACGATCGACCTCCATTAACCTTGTCTAATAGGTGCTCAAAATTCATTGGCCAATGGCGGCCATGTTTTTTGAGATACGCTAATGTCCTCATAGACACTTCTGGCACATTGGACAAAGACACTACGTTCCAATTTTCATGTTGATGAACTACCAAATTTTGCTATGATTACGTCTTTAATTGATTTTTCCGTACATTTCTGCCATATGTACATTAACTGACAGTCACCACTGATAAACTACTACTAAATATATTGTAGAAACTTAATTTTCTGTAAAGCTGCTTTGCAACGATTTGTATCGTGAAAAGCGCTATACAAATAAACTTGAATTGAATTGATCGGACAAATGGTTCCGTAGTTATAGCCATTTTTTGTTTTTTTCCCTCTTATAGCGCCACCAAGTGGCCAAGCTCCATTATTTTTTTCATGTGACCTCAGACTGAGCTCCTACATGAGTGTTCTGAGTTTGGTGAAGATATCTCATTCCGTTCAAAAGTTTTAGGCGTTTTAGTAAAAGCCGCCGAACGTTTTGGCGTCCCTCTTTGATAATTATTGATATTCACTCTCCAGAGAATCTTTCTGCACTGGTTTGGTTCCGATCGGGTGAAAAACCTAGGACTAGTTCACAAAAGTAGGATTAAAAAAAAATCCAAAATACCCGAGGATTCCAACGATATAAGGCACTTGAGCCTGCGACTAACGGTTTAGGAGTTATGAGCGATTTCATTCGTTTGATTGCTGTAGCGCCCCCGTCAGGCCGATTGGGGCGAGCTTTGGTGACATTGTAGACGGTGTGAGTACTAGCATCCCTCCAAGTTTCAAGTCTCTACGACTCACGGTTTGCTCTGCCCGATCAGTTTTAGGTGGAGATTGCTGATCTTTGGCCATTCTAACAATTACAATACAGTTTCAGTGCTACGCGCTTGAACCCCTAATTAACTCCTTGATTAAGCACTGGGTACACCTCATATAGTTTAACAAGAACAAATATCTGCCACACTGAAGAAAATTTGCTGTAGAAACAATTTTCAATCAGAAATTGCAAGTTAATTTACAGATAATTACAAAGAAACAGCAAGTAATACACTGAGCTAACACATTTCAATAATCTGTTTTATGTACAACTTTTGTTTTACAGTGCAATGGGGCCAGAAAAATTACCTTGTTTTCCATTTGGATTCATTTGGATATTTGTTCTGGTTTTAATCTTAAACTCACTTTATTCTGATCAATTTCTATTCTTATCTTCTGTCATTTTGCATCTCCAGTTAAAATGATTTAAGAATGTTTAGATATTTGTACTGGAAAAAAATACTGAGTAATACAATAATTTTTCGCCTCGTTTAGTGAGATTTTGATTTGGAAAATCTTAAAAGACAGGCATACGTAAGTGTGGGATCAATAATCCATCATAACAACACCGTTTACTCATATAGCGAGTATAAATCTCAGTCCTGAAGGTCTGAAATGAAAATGAATCTATTTTATGGCCATTAATATTTTTTAGTTTAGCGTAATATTTAACCCTCATAATGCATTCGGCTCCATTTTGACCTGGAAGAGATACATAAACATCTCTAAAAAAAAGAGCATAGTTTTTAGTAAGGGAATGAAACTTTGCAAATGCTTTAAGAATTTCAAGATAAACATCTTTTTCAGATTTTATACAATTCTTTTTTTGGAGATTTAAAACATATTTGTGTTTGGGTCATTTTGACCCGGGTGTGTATGGAGCACCATTACTGTCAAAAATACGTTTTGTAAAATTATTTATGAAGTTATATTAGTGTCAAAAAAAACATTTACATTTAGGCTTTTTCTACAGAGTTTGAATGCATTATGAGGGTTAAACACAACTGCGGGGAAAGCGCATGTTACATAATAATGTCCCAAAATAATCAACATCCTAAAATTTTTCTTTTGGTTTTGAAGTAAATATTGTTGGTTAAGCGTAACTGCATGCCTCTCGTCACTGAGCTCCGGCCCGTTTCTCTGTGTTCTTTGGCTCTGCTGGTGTTGTTTAGATGTCAGCGGCTCTTGAGGAAATCCAGACATGCGATTAAAATGACGCATGTCATGAAAAGTTTACCAAAAATGTTCTGAATCTCCGCTGTGGAACAGATTCTTTTGTTCAGACAGCAGCGTTTTTCATTTCTGCACTCTATAACCTGGTTAAAATCTCCTGATGACTGACCTACTCGAAGACATTAAAGTTCAGATCAGGTTTATGTTAAGAGCAGGTTAAACTCACTTACTAAGCCCACTCGTGGTTTCCAGGACAGGTCATATATGGCGTGTAAGCAGCGATGGACTGGATCTGCCGCATGAACTCATCCCCGATCCGGCCGTTATCCTGATTAAACACACACACACGCACGCACGCACACGCACACACACACACACAGATGCACACACACACATGCACACACACAGACACAGACACACAGAGGCACACACACACACACACACACATGCACACGCACACGCACACACACACAGACACACAGAGGCACACACACACACACACACACATGCACACGCACACGCACACACACACAGACACACAGAGGCACAGACACACACAGACACACACGC